AATGATGACACGCCAGCTTTCCAAAGTTTTGGTCACGTCCTCGGCCTGCCCTGACACGAAGCATCAACAGCAGAATTTGGTCGCCCTAATTGGCAATTAAAAGAATTAAAAGCTGCCACCCAAGGTCAGGTGGACATGGCCTCAAGAGAGGGACGTGGAATCGCAGAATTTACAAAGACACCATGAGAGGGGAGGGAAGAGGAGCACGCTGACCATCCGTTAGTAATTATTAGGTTTTGTAGAGGGGCACAATACTAACATCTACAGAAAATAAGTTGTGAAACCTTGTGGCGTGAAGGTGGAATGAGAGAATTGAGGTCACAGCCCTGGAAAAAAGGGATTGGGCCCTGGATTGTTGTTTGTTTACTGGATTTCTAAACCAGGTCAAGGAATGAGTTTTAAATGACAGAGAACGCTGTTGTGTAAATTTGAGAAATACAAATGGACCCAAACGTTGGAACAAGCCCAGCCTGACCGTGCTCTCATATTCCAGATCCTCTCTAGATCCCACTCACGACACAAAGCCAAGAGCTCTCTTTCATCCATCAGGAAACACTCCCAGGCACCTGGATCCTGCCAAGCTGTTCCAGAGTGACCTCCCCAGAACATCAGCAGCTCCCTCAGCATTCCTGGGTGACACAACGGCTGATGGACATCCAGCAGCACAGAACAGAGTCCTGGTCTTCACAAGGCACCCACAAACCACAGCAGATGAGCGCCACAAAATGACCTCACTGATGACACCGCAGATCTTCCGAGCTCTGCTTGTTTGCTCAGCCCTCCCAGAAACACGTGGAACAATCACATCCACGCAAATACCAAATTATTAAAGTGGCTGCCAAGATGGACACAGCAAGGAGAGCTGGACACGAAACTGCACAATGGTGGGAGGGAAAACAATGACTCGCCAGTAACGAAAGAGCTGCTGCCTAAAAAATTACCCCGAGGCCATGGGACAAGGCTGTCCCACCCCTCCAGGACCGGCATAAAAGCCAGCCCAGAGCCTCTGTCCCTCACACACTTCTCCTGACACCTTCTGTTCCTGCTGAGAACAAGGTGAGTCTCAATCCCCTGAACCTCCTGCTCCTGCACCCCTGGCCCCTCTCTTCCAGCACGCTCAGCCCCAGCCTCAGCAGCTCCACAGCCCCACAACAGCCTCCACACTCCCTGGACCTCCTGATGCTTTGCCCCTTGTGCCCCCACACCTCTAACTTACCTCATTCCTTCTCTTCCAGGACCCTCCACACCTCACCCATGGCCTGCAACACCCTCTGCCAGCCCTGCGGACCCACCCCGCTGGCCAACAGCTGCAACGAGCCCTGTGCCCTGCAGTGCCAGGATTCC